AAATACGAGTGCGGTTAGTATGATGTACCGAGCCCGGTGCATGTCAACAAATGCATGAATGCACGCATGCATATCATAAGGTATGCTAATTTCAAAAATGCCCTAATCTACCATCATAAGCTGGTAAATAAAAGGGAAGAAAGAAATGGGGATTGGAAGACATACACACACTCACCCACACTTATTACATGTTTACCCTCACTCAGAGGGTCCGAATTAATATTACAGTCCCAAATAATAAACAAATAAAATTATTACAAAACAAAAAAAAATATTCTAATTTAATTTAAAGGAAAGGTGGGGAAGGAAGGAAAAGGGTAGCCGCAGCCTCTGCCTCGGGATGCGCGAGTGATGCATGCTCAAATCCGCCTCATCCGGAAAACCCGTACTGTACTCCTGTCCCCTCTGTTTGTACTGCCTTGTCTTTCTGAAAATTGCCAAAGTACTGGAGCAAGTTCCTTGCGTCCTGCAGAGCACCACCGGCCGGACAGAATTACCACCGGCACTTCACAATTCCCATCGGCATTTGTTGGATTCCTCGGCACTCCAGATATTGCCGGTCGGCACTAAATTCTGCCCGGCGGAGAAACTTCCTGCAGAAGACAATTTGACAGCAAAAAACAGTGCCGACCGGCAACATATTATGCCGACCGGCAATAAAGTGTGCCGACCTCCTACTTCTTATCATATTTTGAACTCAAAGAAGCATGACCTTCGACCTTTGAGCCATCAATGGTGCATGATGACTCGAAGGATCAAATTTGCCACTTGATGTAAGGATGTATGCAACAAACAACATGAAAACCGAGGCCTTATCAAGTTGGAGTCAAAGGTCCCGATGACCAGGAATCGAGGCACATTGCATCACTTGAAGTATGAATGGTCCTTGATTCCCACACTTAGTTTGACACCCCAAACCAAGTAAATGCAATGCATGTAATGCTCAACAAGGCTCAAATGTATCATGCCACCAAGATGTAAAGCACAACAAGCATTATGCAACCAACATGACAAATGTATAATACCAAGCATACAAGATGATGCAAACATGGACCAAATTGGAAATATGATGCAAAACATCCCCGAATCATGGAAGCATGGCACCCGATGCATGAAATGGTACTCGAAATACAAAATTAGGCATACGCAATGACCTATAGCTATACAAAGCATGCATTATTTGATCATGAAGCATGAAGACAGATTCAAGGTAGTCCCAAAAAAAACATATTTACAGTTTTAAGCAAGGCCAAATAGTGAACACGAATGGGGCTAAGCTAGCATGCAAAAATGGCCCCGAAAGAGAGATAATGAAGCAAGTGGCAGCTTCTGTCCCTAAACAGAGAAGGGACCTTCTACAATGTTGAAGAGGGGCCCAAAATATGGTATTCTACAGTTGGTGGCCAAGCCAAAAACAGTACACAAGCATGCTCAAAATACTATACAAAACAAGGCCAAAAAGAGAGCTATAACACAAAGTACAAAAAGGATGCCTCAAATAGTAAAAGACCCTTATTGAAACATGAAGAGGGGGTCAAAATAAGGCCATTTATAGTTCGGACCAGAGCCCAAAAACCGAAGCACAAGAGGCTAACAAATCATGCAAAAATGGAGCCAAAAGAGAGATATAAAGGCAAGTGGAAAATGGAAGCCACAAACAGTGATGAGCCCTTCAACAATATTGAAGAAGGGCTCAAAATAATCTTCTTTATAGTTCGTACTAGAGCTCAAAACAGTTTACATATAGGCCTAAAATAATATACAAGAAAATGGCATACAAAGGAGGTAATGAAGCAAGTGCAAAAAGGGAGCCTCAAACAGTGAGAGGCCCTTAAACAAACATAAAATAAAACTCAAAAAAATGATATTTTCAGTTAGGGTCGGAGCCCCAACATGCAAGCATAAAGAGCTAAGATGTGAACCAAGAAAAGGGTCAAAAAGGGGAGGAGAGGACTTACCCTTGAAGAATAATCTTTGACAGCGTTTTGGACCAAGAAATGCTGCCTCCTAAGCTCTGAGAAGACCCTCCAAGCTGCTGGAATGGAGCGGTGGTGTGGTGCTAGGTGATGGTGAGGAAATGGTGTAAGAATCAAAGGGTTTTTTAAGGCTTAGAGTAGAGAGAGAGAGAGAGATTTAATGTGAGAGCTCCAAACCAAAATTTTATAACTCCTAAAACACAGCTGGGGGGTCTGTTATATAGACACAAGAGGGTGGAAAAGAGGGGGAAAATGAAATTCAAATTTCCCCCCAAAATTGGCCCAAAAGGGAGATAAAGGGACAAGTGATAGTAGGAGATCTCAAACCGAAGAGAGCCCTTCAACAAAGTTGAAAAGAGGCTCAAAATAAGACACTTTGTAGTTTATGACAAGCCACGAAAATAAATACAAGTAGGCCTAAACTATCATGCAACAAAAGGCCTAAAAGAGGGGTAAAGAAGCAAGCGGCAGTAGGAGATCTCAAACAGCAAAAGGTCCTTAATCAAACATGAAAATAATCTCAAAATATGACTAACTAAAGTTCAGGTCGGAGCCCAAAAATGCAGAATGAAGGTTCGGGAGCCAAAACACGCAGTTTGGGGCCTTGAAAAGTGGGCTGTTAGGCACCGGAAGTGGTGTCCGACCACGAAGTTGGTCTCTCGGACCGTAGTGTCCCTCAAAAGGGAGTAAATAAGATGCATGCCAAAAACTGGAGCAAACGGAGGTGGTTAAGCGGTCCCGAACTGAGGCACACGACCAACGGCTCCGAAAAATCGGAAACCGGACTCCAAACGGGCAAAACGGCCTACGACCACGAAACGTAGCCTACGACCACCGAGAGATGATCTACGAGACTCTCCCTCCCTTTGGGAAGAGAAAACAGAGAAAATGGAACCTGGTTCGCAAACCGAGGCAAAGCACAAAAGAGTCCGGAAGTCCGGAGGTAAGGCTCGCAGCCGAGACTCTGAAACTTCTGAACGAGCACAATATGCAATATCACCGAGCGCTCAATTGGTGACGTCTGAGTCTCAAGGTCGGTCAAAAATGGGGTGTCTACAGTCCTCCTCATGGTCGGCTCCTCCACTTGGTCACACTTCGCGGTCAGCCCTCCTCATGGTCAGTCCCTCCACTCGATCACCCTTCGCGGTCAGCCCTCCTCATGGTCGGTCCCTCAACTTGGCCACCCTTCGCGGTCGGCCTTCCTCATGGTCGATCCCTCCACTTGGACACCCTTCGCGGTCTGCCTTCTTCACGGTCGGCCCTCCAGGTCGGCCCCTCCATTCGATCACCCATCGCGGTTGGCCCTCCTCATGGTTGGCCCCTTCGCTTCGCCGGTCCCTACCAATCATCGTTCTCCTCATTATTCCCTTCGTTGGGCTAAAGCTACACTTGGGAATGAGGGACTACTGACATGGGCAAGCCCATAAAGGTTATAGTCCACCACTTAGGGCCCAATACATAATTCAAATACTAAAGCTCGGCGTTACTGGAGCTTGACATGGCATCAAGAACCAATGGCACCTAGACCCGTGGCAAGTGAAGGACAAGTCACTTAAGTAGACAAAGATCTTGCAAAGTTATTGCACTGCACATTAGCCATTAATGAAGGCCCTTACAGCATTTATTGCGATAAGCCCTCCTTGTCGAGACAGAACGGCCTCACCATGAACAAGGCAAGCTAGAGCATAGACTTTCGACCATAGCGACAGGTCGGAAGGGACAACGAAATGATTACCAGAGGATATAAGCAGACGTTGAAGACAAGAAGAAGGTTAAGCTTTATATCTCTAATCTATCTCCACATTCCACTTCTCTTTCTAACTTGCTCGTCAGAGGGTTCACTGAGGGACTCCCCGTTCCCCGTTGAACTCTTGTGCAGGTCTTCTGGTGGGCTTGGTCATTCGGACACTGGTTTGAGAGGCGTGGATCAGTCCGACCCGTTCCATCTGGAACACGCTGTATCATCAACTTTGAGAAGAATAAATGGATTATTTTTCTTGTGATTTCGGTCCAAATTCTAAAGGAACATCACTTGTAAGTCGTAATGACCTCAAGTTTAATAGGGTTCATGTCAGGTGGGAATCTTTGGTGGAACTAATTAAGATCAGAATTGCTCTATGGGTTAAGTATAAGTGCAAGGAAGTGGTATTTTCAGTTAATGATCTTGTGTTCAATTTTGCAGCAGTAAGAGGACTTCGCGTGTGACTGGAATTGGGTCATTTATTATTTGTTTTTGGTTGAATCTTTTTAACCACTGATCATGGGTGTTGCAGATGATTGGACAATTCCAATGGTGTCAACATAGTTGGGATGTTTGGGTTATTGTTTTGATACTTATGGCACTCTGATTTTGTTTCATTTGATTCTTATTTATTGATGTTTGATGTGAGGATTTATCCTTTTAATCTTATTCAATAAAGGTTTTTTTTTGCTGATCAAAATTGGGACTAAATATATAAACATAGACATAAACAATGCTCAATTAGTACCTGTTAATGAGAGCTTGATACAATGTGAAAATTCTAAGGATAAAATTGATGTAATTAAAACTATGAGAATCAAATTGACATAAAAGATAAGAACAAAACTAAGTGCACAGATGCAAAATACAGAATGAGTAAAAAATGTCTCATAAAGAGTGAGTCTCACATGCCCCGCATGATGTGGGGCGCTCACATGGGATCCACTCTTTGTGAGACATTTCTATTTCATTCTGTATTTTGTATTTATGTGCCTAACATTGCTGAAGTGACAAACTATTAACTTTTAATAAATATCAAATAAATTTTTAAATTGAAATTTTTATCAATTTTGAGTACTTAATTTTAAGTTGTATCTAATAATACTTTAATCTAATAAATATTGAAACCTAATAATATGGTTAGCACCATTGGTTATAGAATATACCAAAAATAGTTGATGTTTTCGACCACTTGAATGAGATAATGTTAAGGTTCACTTTCGTCCATGTTATTTTTAGGTCCTAAAAGCCCTAAATTATGGACATTAGGAGGGGATGAGAATTGTCCCATATGGTCTATATATATCCACAAGAGTGTATGTGAAATTTAGGAAGAGAGGGAGCAAAATACATTTTGGTAGAGTTGGTGAGATAACTCTTGTTTCATCTTTATTTCCTCTTCAATTTCTTGATTATGTTTGTATGTCTTTGGTGTATGCACATATATTGTTGAAGCAAGCTTTTTTTGTTTGATTGTATAATGAATTTTGCTCCCGGGTATTACGGTTCACCTTAAGATTTTTCAATCCCAAGAAAGATTCCTTAAGAATTTGCAACAATTAGATTTTTTTTTTTTTTTGGCACTAATTTTAATTATACAATTTACTTCAAAAAGTATCCTCATTTTTGTTGTAATTTAGGTCTTAGTGGTCTATATTTGCATTGCATTTGTAACTCATTACGTTTGAGAGGTCACGCTCATGACTTCCACATATGGTGTGTTGATTTTGTTTTCATTATCACGTGTTATTGATCAGTATAATTTTGAAACTATATTCTTTACATGTTCCTGATTTAAAATGTAAAATTTAATTTTTAAAATAAAGTTAAATTGTAACTATCATAATTGTTTTTATGTTACACTACTCATTATTTTCACGCTATCACTTATTTAGTTCCTGGATTTAGAATTTTCTTTTGCTATTTGCATTATCATTCATTGACCTATGAGCTCATTCTATTCATTAACATTTTCAGGTCAGCCATTGAAAGATTATTAGAAGCCTCCAACGAATTGGGAAACCAGCTCCTTCTTGACCTTCTCAGGTTTCTCATGCATTCATTTATTTTATGAGAAATCACCATTATAAAATCCATTCTCACGTTTAATTCAATATATATATTAAAAAATAATCATACCATTCAATTTTATTTCATTTCAATAAACTAAATACTAAAATATATAATCATGTCCACAAGAATGCAATGAGTCACGTGTGTGCGTGCTTCTTTGTAGGGACTCAGGAGGGAGGAGTTGACAAGCCACCATGGATTCGCCGCCGGTAACTTGGATGTTTGTGTTGGTGGTGATTGGATTGATTGGCGGAGAAATGGGTGGTGTTAAAGCTTCACAAAGTTGTAGATTTCCAGCGATATATAATTTTGGGGACTCAAATTCAGACACCGGAGGATCTTCGTCGGCTTTCGAAGAAACCGCATTACCAAACGGCATGACTTTCTTTCGCAAGCCATCTGCAAGGCTCTGTGATGGACGTCTCATTATAGATTTTATTGGTAAGCAATCTAGCAAATAGTAGTTAAAACAAATACCATAAAACAAAAAAAAAATCTTGTAGCAAAATAAATCATAAATTTTTTATTTCATCAATTTAAATTCTAATATTTTGATTTATTTTCGATCTAAATTATTTGTCTATTTTTCTTGGGTAAACCTAATGAAAAATTACATCCCAACCCCTAATATTCAATCAAAATTATATCCCACCCCCTGACGTTCTGAAAATTACATTCTCACCCTTGTAGTTAATAGTTGCATTTCAGAAACGCCCATACTTATATAAAAGACAACAACTCCTAGTAGAAAAATAGAAAAATTACATTAAAAAAAAAAGAAAGGAAAAAAAGAGAGAGAGAAAGAGAATGGATTAGTTCAATATCTTTATTTTATCTAAATAATTACAATGACAGGGGGGTTAGCGTAATTTTCCAAACGTCAGGGAGTGATATGTATTGAATTCAAACCTCAGGGGGTGTAAATGTAATTTACCCTTTAGTCATTAAACTCAATATGAGTACATAAAATGTCTAAAATATTTTTTTATTAAATTTAATGACTATAACATTCTTTTGCACTCTGTTTCACTTAAGGAAAAAATAGACAAATGATTTAGAATGAAAATAAATTAAAAGTCTAGAATTTAAATTGGCAAAATTATAAAATTGAGATTTATTTTGTTAAAAGGATCTAACTTTGGAGTTTTTTTTATTTATTTATAATTTTCTCCTTTTTTTCTTTTATTTTTGGATCATTTTCTATGCACAATATATATCATTGCTGGATTTTCATGCAGTCCCCACTTAACTAGGAAATTGAAGTTACCAAAACATGTTTGCTACTAAATTATGATTGTGTGTAATGAACTGTTGAATATTATATTCGTAGTTGATTTGTTTAAAAATCAATCAATTATGCTTCAAAAATATGAACACGATAAAATAAAGGGCACTAAGTTTAAAAGTCTAAATTTCAATTTTGTTTGTTTAAAGGTCCAGGTACTGAAACACTTTGTCTAAAAGGACAATCTCAAATAAAATGATCAAAATACCTTTCCTTATATATCCCTCCCACTCAGAACTCTCTTCCTCCCGTCTATTTCTCTGTATCTGTCCAATGTTTCTATCTCTCTAATTGACAGCTAAGGTTTCTCTCTCTCCCTCTCTCTCTCTCTCTCTACAATGGTTTCACCACCACCACCACCGCCGCTGCCAACATTGCCAACTCCACTCTTCCCTCCTTATTTGGTGACCTAACACCGACACTTTTCCTTATATATCCCTCCCACTCAGAACTCTCTTCCTCCCGTCTATTTCTCTGTATCTGTCCAATGTTTCTATCTCTCTAATTGACAGCTAAGGTTTCTCTCTCTCTCTCTCTCTCTCTCTCGACAATGGTTTCACCACCACCACCACCGCCGCCGCTGCCAACATTGCCAACTCCACTCTTCCCTCCTTATTTGGTGACCTAACACCAACACTTTCCTCCGCCGACCTCCGCAACACAGCCTACAAGATCTTCGTCGTCGCCTACCACACCACCTCCGACAAATCCCTCACTTAGGCCGACCGATCTCCATCTCTTTCGCCATCGTCACTTTCGAGCTTACCTTCGAGGCGGCGATCAATCACTTCAACTGCCCCTAGCAAGGTCAATAAGGTGTTATGGCTCCGATCTAGTTCTAATTCGGGCTTAGGATCCGGATCGAAGAGGAGTGAGGGTAGTCCATCTCGTCGTTGAGAGGAAAGGGAAGAATTTCTCTATCCATTTTGGTCTCTCTCAAAATCTGTTTCTGGAGAGAAAAAGTGTATGTGTGTTTGTGTGATTTGGTTCCTATCTCTATACATACAGAGATATAGATCTGTTTTCTTCTCTCTCTCCAGATCAAGGTTCTAAATCGCGGTATCGGGTAACATAACGGTATCGATCGCGGAGTATCGGTATCGGTAGTATCGATCGGTACATATCGGGAATCGGGTGTCGCGGTGGTGAAATTTTAAAAATCATTTCAAAGGTATTTCAAATTTAGTTTTTTTTTTTTTTTTTTTGTAGTTGTTAATTGTTGTTGTTGTCGTCGTCATCGTTGATGATGATTGCAACAGATAGAACAGATCTTGAATAAATTTGTTCAAATTTTGAATAGACAATAGTATTTGAACAGATAATAGGATAGATTGAATAGATAGTTAAAAAATTTGAATATATATATATATATATATATTTTTGAACATATAAGGAAAAAATGAACAATTAAGGGGGAAATTTAACAGATAGATATAAATTTGAAAAAATAATTAAAAAAATTGAACAGAGAGAAAAAAATTGAACAGATAAATATAAATTTAAACAGATAGTCAAAAAAAGTCAAATAGATAAAAAAAAAAAAGTCTACAAATAAATTCAGGGATAAAATTGAGAACAAAATATTCTCCAAAACTAACAAAAGGATTTCTTACATAATTATTTCACAAATGGTGGACCTATCACCAATAAAAAAATATCCACCGAACCTAATGTATTAAATTCTCCTTAGATTGAATTTATCACTAAGTTTCTCTATTTTTTTTGGAGAAAAAGTTAATAAGATATATTACACTAGTAATCCCTTCATTTCGTTCTCTGTGTCATTTTGATCTCCATAATTTTAATTAACTCAATTTCAATTTTAATTTTTTCTATTGTATCAATTTAATTTAATCGAAAATAATTGTTAGCATTTTTAACCTAAAAAAAAAAAAAACACACACACGTGAACAACATGTAACCTATGATGACTCACCTAGTCAGAGGGAATATAAGTAAATGGACCATTTTATCCTTAAAAACAAAACACATATCATTCATGTGCCTATTTTCCTTCAAAAGTCATAACAGAAGTTATGCATTGGACCAAATTTACACAAAATTCAAAATTTAAATTAAAATCGACCCAAATGAAACTAACCAAAACAATAGAAAAAGCAAAGTAGAAGAATGACGAATGTAATTTGCCCAAATTAATATTACTGTTTTTGTGTGCAGCTGAAAATTTGAAACTACCGTTCTTGAATGCTTACCTGGACTCAATCGGGACAAGTTATAGGCATGGTGCTAATTTTGCCGTAGCAGGTTCCTCTGTCCTTAAAGATGGAGGCTACAGTCCATTCCATCTAGATTTTCAAGTATTGCAATTCATACAGTTCAAGAAACGCACCACTGCCCTCTACAACCAACTAACCAACAATGGTGAGCTCTGCTCTGCCTCTCTCTCTCTCTCTCTCTATCTCTTTTCCCATCCCATCCCTGCAATATTCATTTATTTGAAGATGAAAACACCAAGAAAAATGTGACCAAAAACAGGTTTTAGGAGCGCAATAATAAATAGAGGGCAAGAATATAGGCAATGATATTTTCGTATAGAAATTTTCATTTAGGACATGACATTTTTTGGTTATTTCATTTTAAGCTAAAACACCTATTACCGTAGCTCATAATTTCAAAAATATTACTCTTACATCATTTTGGATGTGTTTCATGTATACAAATTCTATTTGTAAATCATTTTCTTGAGAATAATTTGACTCATGCCTAAAAGTATGGGCAAGTTTTAAAGGGTTCATTACACTAATAGGTTACAATATAGTGTTTTGGCATTAGCCCTGTTCAAAATCATTGGCAGAATAAAGGGTTTTTGAAATTTCACATGATGCCTCAACAAATTCAAAATGACTTAAATACATATATAGCTCCCAAAAGTACGTAATTTTGTCCCAAAAATATGTATTTTTGTTGCATCTTAGTTCTCAAAGTATGCACTTTGACGTATTTTGATTCCCAATATTTTAATTTTATTATATTTTTGTAAGTTTCAAAAATACCCCTCCTTCCCTTATTGACTTTGAATGACTTAAAGATTAAAGTGTAACAGATTAGATATTTTTTTGACCATTAATGTAATTAACCCCGATCTTCAAATGTCACAATTACACCAAGCCGGTGCACTGATGACATGAAATACTCACTCCTAACTGTACAGACACTTGTGTGGATATATGATAATAGAAAAATGCTAGACATAAACACATTCCTTGATTTTATTATCACAAGATTAGACGTATATTTTTTGGTGTGGACCCACTACCATGTGTCTAATGGTAAGAAAATATAATGAAAAATCCAATTATGTATAACATGATTCATGATTGTAAGTGTGAAGGTTAATTTTGTGGCATATGCATCCAGGGAAGAAGCAGATCTCACCATGTAATAGGAATCTTCCACTGCCCAACGACTTCTCAAAGGCTCTATACACGGTTGACATTGGACAGAATGATCTTTCCTATGGCCTGAAAAATTACCCTGGAAAATTACAAGAAATAATTCCTGAAATCATAACAATGTTCGCCCAAGCAATTCATGTAAGCAACACCCCCATCTAGCTATTGTCACTTCTAACTCAGAATTCTAACATAGGCACAAATGGACTCAAGACTCTAATGCTGTGTTTGGTTGGGGGATTTGGGGAGGGATTTGGAAAGGGAAAGGGAAAAGGTGTGTGAAACTAGGTGAAATGTAGGTACAATGTAGGTACATTTTATTCACATTTCACCTAACTTTTCCCTTTCCCTTTCCAAATCCCTCCTCAAATCCTCCAACCAAACACAGCGTAATAGATTCCCCCCCGATATATATATATATATACCAACAAAATAAAAATAAAAAGTACGAACTATAACGTTTTCCTAAAAACCAAAAAAATAAATGATATGTATCACTTGTTTTTTGTCACCAATTTATATTGCAGTCTATATGGATAAGATAATCATTAAGGAATTAATAAAAGGAAATGATATCTCTCTACATACCCAGGTGATATGATATATGGTAGTCCTACAAAAAAAAAAAAAAAAAGAATTAAGATGAAAACTTAGGTACATTTTTCTTGTATCCAAGTTGAGGTACAAAAGATAGTAACCGTAAGACAATTCATCTACTAAAGTAAGTGACACACTTTTGAGTTGTGTTCAACTCTATTTCATGTCATTAAAAGCATTTATAATAGAATCGATATTAAAATCTCGAATAATGTCTTTTTTAATAACTGTGAATAAGTAACTTCTTCACTCCTCGTTCCCTTTTTTCTTTTCTCCGCTGATTAGGATTTTTAATCGAGACTAATTATGATAAACCTTTTTTTTGGGTCTAAATTTGTTTAAATTTTATACAAACTCCCATATTTTATAGATATAGTGGTGACCATTTGAATTTTTTTAAAAAAATATACAGAACATGCCTTTTTTTATATATAAAATAAAATAAAAAAATAAAAAAACAACCCAAAAGGGTGACCCTGTATGACTTGTGCAGGGAAGTCCGTCCATGTATGCACGGATGAAGACAGAATTCTAGACTCATAATAGGGGGGGGGGGGGGGTTTGGGGGGGGGGGGGTTAAATCTCAGTCCCATCCATCCATTCCAGGAGTTATTTGTCTATACCGTATGGTATTTCATCAAATGGGGATTGAAACTAACATTTCTAAGGTCTATGTTTCAGAAACTATACAAGGAAGGGGCGAGGTTCTTCTGGGTACATAACACTGGGCCACTCGGTTGCTTGCCATTCTATCTTGACAGATTGCCAGCAAATTCGGGAAACTTATTGGACCAGACTGGGTGTGTGAAGCCTACGAATGAGATCGCTCAGGAGTATAACAGGCAGCTAAAGGACAGGGTCTCACAGCTAAAGGCAAATCTCTCTGATGCCACATTTACATATGTAGATGTGTATTCAGCTAAATATGCACTCATAAGCAATGCAAAGAATCTAGGTATATAAACTTGCTAAGTTCAAATCTTATCACTACATTATGATAGCAGTCCACTGGGTGGAGCACAACTAATTGTTTTGTGGGGATTTGATGGCAGGTTTTGATGATATAAAGAAGTTCTACGACTTACAATGTGGTAAGACAGAAATTGTGAATGGCACAGTCCTTGGTAAATGTAATGATCCATCAAAATTAATTAGCTGGGATAACGTACACTACTCTGAAGCTGCCAACTTACTACTTTCAAAACAAATTATCAATGGCTCCCTCTCCCACCCTCACGTATCAATTGCAGAAGCTTGTCATAAACTCCCATGAACACATGATCATTAAATACCATTGTTCGATAAATTATGATTATGGATGTTCCCTAACCATAACAGGTATTGGTGGTTTCGCTTTAAAGGGATACATGTTTACTTGTATCATCCTAGAGTGTTTCCATACCAATATTAACAATGCTTCTGCAATAAAAGTTCATTAATTTGAATTATCAAATTTCTATTTTACATGCAATTATACATCGGTTTTTATGCACTATATATTTTTCAGTCTCAAATGAACTCTACTATCAGGCAAGACAGAATACTGAAGACGGATACAATTCTATTATTCTATTAATTTCTTCCAATCTAATGTTCTCCACATTTTAACCACTGGAGTATAATGTATTTGATGCAAGATTCAGCCCATCATACATGATTGAAGTACTTTAAACTCAAGTTTCTTCTCAAAAAAATAAAGTGGGAGGGGAAAAAAGATAAAGCAAAGCAAAATATCAGCCACCTGCACCATTTGCTAGAAATAATGCTTAAATTTCTAATGTAGAAAAACAGTAAAACATCACAAGTGTTCGATTCTTGAAAATATAAAGGAACACTAATTTTGCTCCGTTTGCTAAAGTGAAAATACTTAGAAAGAAGAAGAGACAGAAGAGAAAATGATACCTGCCCATTGCACCCCAGGGTGATATGGCCCATATTCATCCTCCAAAATATTCCTTGCTTCTTCAAATAGATCTGCAGTTTATTGCATAAAAGTTGCACGCAGAAAAGTCCCATTTGATTTAGAGATCCACTGAAGAAAGCCATTCTCTTTATGGATGTCAAGAGCAAACTGACAAAGCATCTCAGTCTTATCAATTTGTAATGCTTGAACACGGGTCTGAAAAAGCAATACACTTTTAAATTGTGGGGTCTAGGGAGTGTGACAATAAATCACACTGAATCATTCGAAAGGGATGGGCAAGGAAAGTGAGTGCTAAATTCCAAATAAGGTCGGAGGGTATAAAATCAGAACCTAAGAAGCATAAACACGGATATGCGACACGACACGGATACGACATGGAAACAGAGACACGCCAATTTTCAAAAAATGCAGGATATGACACGTGGGAAACACGCATAAAGCAAAAAGTCATTTTGCCGTCGCAAAAAGTATTAGCGACGGCATTAGGAGTATTAGTGACGGTATTTTACCGTCGCAAAAAATTAATTTTTTTGTAGTGATATGTTATATATATATATAGATATATCATTCAAAGATAATGAAAAATATAATATGATATTAATTCCTATAAATTTATATGATTTTTGTTTTATTTTGTATCTTAAATTGTTTTGTTCAAATTTATAATTAGTTTCACTTGTGTCTAATTGATAGACACGTGTGCTTAAGTGATAAACACATGTGTCCTCCAATTGTCCAAAGAATATCTGGATCTTTAAAAAAAATTAAAAAACAGGACACGTTTTGAAAAATGTCGGACATGTGTCAGGGAAGTATCTGAAGAGTGTCGGTGTTCGACACAGACACGACACTTCTTAAAAGTGTTCGTGCTAGGGAAAATAAGAATGATGGGTAGAAGGCCAAAAAAAATTGGTGTGCAACTCCTTGTGTGGTGAGGTGCAACTCAAAAGCTATGGCGGTGCAACTATGAGTTGTATGTGTAAATTTTTTTGTTTGTTTGTTTCACTCAGATGTAATTCCCCTAAGAAAAAATTACTACTATCATGAGAAATTATATATAAGTGCAACTCTTATTTCCAATGTACCCACACAGTAATACGATAAATCAAAACTATAGGTTCTATCGCAGGATTAGAAACTTTGAAGTGGAGATTGTACTGAAGAAGATGAAATCAAATAAGGTTTTAGGACTCGATGATATCCCTATTGAAGCTTGAAAGTGTTTGGGTAAAAAGGGGTTGCTTGGTTGACTAGGCTTTTTAGCAAAATTTTGTTGACTAGGAACATGCCAGATAAGTGGAGGAATAGTATTTTAGTGTTAATCTATAATAATAAAGAAGATGTCCAGAATTGCAACAACTATAGAGGAATCAAGCTAATGTGTCATACAGTGAAAATGTTGGAGAAGGTGATGGAACATCGATTATGAGATATAACAAAGGTGTCAGTGAATCAATTTGGATTTATATCTGACAAGTCAACAATGGAAACGATTTATCTTTTGAGGAGAGTAATAGAACAGTATCGAGAAAAGAAAAAAGACATTCATATGGTGTTTATCGACCTTGAGAAAGCATATGATAAAGTGTTTCGGGATATAATATGGTGGGTGTTAGAGAAGAAAGAGGTAACAAAATGTTACATTGATGTGATTAGGGACATGTATAAAGGGGTGGTGACCACTATTAGATCGCCTACTGGAAAGACAAATGAATTTCCTATCACTGTAGGGTTACACTAATGATCTACCTTAAGTCCTTATCTTTTTGCTTTAGTTATGGATGAGCTAACGAGAAATATTCAAGATGACGTGCCATGGTGTATACTTTTTGCAGACGATATTATGCTAGTGGATGAGACTAGAGAAGGAGTTAACATAAAGTTGGAGATTTGGAGAAAAACTCTTAAATCTAAAGGATTCCAGATTAGTAAAACTAAGACAGTATATGGAGTGTAAATTTAGTAACAGTAACAATGAAAGCAGAGGAGAAGTGAAGATTGAGAACTAAATACTGCATAAGAGTGAACATTTTCGTTGTTTAGGGTTGATTATCACAACAGCGGGGGGAGATTGATGCGGATGTAGCCCATAGGATTAAGGCGGGATGGTGTAAGTGGAGAAGTGTATTGGGGTACTGTGCGATAAATGAATACCCACTAAACTAAAAGGTAAGTTCTATAGAACGATTATTAGACCAGCGATGTTGTATGGGACGGAATGTTGGGCAGCTAAGAAACAACATGTAGATAATATGAGTGTGGCTGATATGAGGATGCTAAGGTGGATGTGTGGCAAGACTGGACAAGACATAATTAGGAATGAGTGTATTCGGAAATGGGTAGGAATAGCACCGATAGAAGATAAGTTGAGAGAGAATCGACTGAGATAGTTTGGTCACATTCAACGGAAACCAACAAAGGCAGTAGTGAAGAGATGCGATGCTATAACGGTAGATAGAAGTGTTAGGGGACATGGTAGGCCTAGATTAACGTTGGCTAGCGTTGTAAATAGAGATATGGATCTACTTAATTTGACTAACGAAATGGCATTGGATAGGGCCGCGTGGAGAAGAAAGATTCATGTAGCTGATCCCATTTGATGGGACTTAAGGCTTGGTTTGGTTTGGTTTATTATATTTTAATAATAAATAGTAACAAATTCAAACCCCCCTATTCAAACCCTTGTATCTCATTCACTGTAATTTCGTTTCGACTCATTTTTGTGTTTTTCGATTCACTTAATGACCTAATTTTCATCCCACCCCTCATACGCCTTGTTCTATCTCGTTTTGTATGTCGTCGAAGCTCCGAAAGTTGGTAAAAAATAAGATTTTTTCCTTTTTTTTTTTTCTTCCTTTATCTTCTCTCTCCATGTTTTTTCCGTCCTCCTACCTTTCCATAATTATTCTCTCTCTTTTCCTCTTTCTTCATGGCCCTTCCACCAAGCTTGTGGTGGCCACCGAACCTCCGACAATGGTGGTGCCGTCAAGTGGTGATAGGCATAAAACTACCCACAAAAAGCAAAAACCAAATGGATTGGTAAACATGTTAGGGTGCCTTGGTTTCCAATCAAGCATCATCCATTACTTCTATGTTGCTAAGAATATTGTCACACCCCAAATCCGGGCATGACCGGCCGTGGCCCACAGGGACTTAGCCCAAGGCACACGTAAGCCTAAACATGAACCCAAAAACCAAAAAGAATAAATGTGATGATAGCCCAGAAATAAATAAATCAACACTCAATCCAGTGACATACCACAAGTGAAAACAAGTCATAACCAACTTCCTAAAAATATATATATACTAAATGGGACACAAACTGCCCATAAATTAAAATAATTCTAAATAAAACCCAACCACAATGTATGCACAAAACTCGACAAAGCAACCTAAAACAAATTAAATAAATGCCCTAGAGGTCCAACAATTCTCTCCACTATGGTCCAGGAAATCTTAGTCTATCTCTACAGACGTGACACAAAGGAATTGATAACAATCAATAAGAGTCGAACCTTAAATCTGATATTTTATGAGGTATGAAGGGCCAAAATCATCGAGCCAAGCCAACCCTTGGGGTTCAATTGAAAACTTGTTGATGGACCTTGTGAAGAAGAATGTGAAGCATATCTTTTCCTATTATCCGATTTATATGCTTATCTCTCAAGCTTTTCGGCTAAAATTAGCACAAATGTGCTCTCATATTAGGCAGATTAACAAAGATGCACTTTCAGCTATGATTTTCCTATTCCTACCCTTGTTCTTGCTCTGTGACCCTGTTTCTGTAGATCCTAACTCCACATCCTGTGAAAATGGTGCTCCTAAGCTCTGAAAAACAGCTCCAAGTCGTTGGAACGGATGGTGGTGGGATGTATACCAAAAAACGGAGCAAACGGAGGTGGTTAAGCGGTCCCGAACCGAGGCACACGGCCAACGGTTCCGAAAAACTGGGAATCGGGCTCCGAAACT